ATGCTACAGCAAGACGAAGGAGAGGATGACTGAGGCAATGGAATTTGGTGACATGGCTGCCATATTTTCAGTAGATGGATAGACTGGAAGGCAGAAGTGAGAAAGAGGACAGTCAGTGTAAATAACTCTAGCAGACTGGGTAGACTAGGTACAGCAAGATATAAGAATGGCAATGAAAAAGAAGCCATGTCCAAAACAAAGTTTTCCAAATGTAGGAGAGGAAAGGAGGAAATGAGAGATGCAACACATTAAGAGAACGGGAGATAATATTTGAAGTCTAAGAGAAGCAGGAAGGTGCAGACTGCGCCCCCTTTTCAGGGGCTTGCAGAAGGACAAGGTTGAATCTTCTGTGGGGACCCCATTGTGTGTGGGAGACAGCATGTTGACTGTGACACTGAGAGGCAGATGAGTGAGAGGAGGACAAAGTTCCTGCCATCCAAACCTGATACGGAAGACATTTTCTGGTCTGGCCTAGCCTTACCTCAGGTTCTACTTAAACAGAACTCTCGGACAGCCTGAGTCTGTAATTAAAATTTATTTGATCTTGCTGAGGTTTTGCTTTCAATCTGAATTAACGAGATTATCACCTCAGCTTGCCTTTTTGTTTCATTGTGCTTTGGTCCTACTGGGTAATAGGTTATGTAAAATTCAACAACAAGTGATAGATGAATTCATCTACATTTCCAAGGTATTATTTTATTATACCCATTGTTTTATAACACATCAAACTCTTCAAAGAATACTAATAACCCTTCTTCATTATTATTTCTGTGGTATTGTTTTCTTGTTTATGGAGAATTAATTTATATTTATGTATGAAAATACAACATTCTTGACATCTTTTTATAAATACTGAGAAATATACTTGTCATGTGCTCGTGGGTTCTTCTACATGTATGACAGCACAGCTACATCAGTTTAATTGACCTTGGCAATCTGCATCTGCTTGTGATGTGTCCCTGAGGGATGGTTTCTGCAATTTTAAGCTGTAGCTTATGGAAGAACTTGTGTGCCACAATACAATTAAGTCTATATAAAAAAAAAATCATTTCATGCATAACATTAAATTGACTAAAAGATGCTATTTCCAAACCATTTCTTGTTATAAAGCTACCTCAGAGTGTCTTTGTTTTTTAAATAGGCTCATTTGAACACAGTAGTAATTAAAGCAGAAAATTAACATAAATCTTGAATGTTTGGTATGAATTAAGGATGTTTTCGTTCTTTTTAAAGACTATATAAAATTCCAGGCACTGTATCATTTAGTCTATTTCTCTCCCATTTGCAGAATAATATGGACTGTGAATAAGCATGTTTTGGGGTTCTCTTTCAAGTTCTTTTTTTTGGTTCAACCACGAAGCTGCAGGGACAGATGCCACAGTCTCTATCAAGATGCAATACATGGAATCTCTGAGAAAACAATACATGATCGTAATAGGAAATTCATGCCCCTCTGATTTTATAAACAAGAGAGAAACATACAGTCCCTCTGCTAATATTCACTTACCACTTCCTAGGACATAGCATGCAGTTATTTGGTTTGCAAATGTAAATATACATTTTTCATCCACTATGCTTTCATTCCTTCCAAGCTGGATGGAGGCAGAACAGAAGATAATGTCTCTGAGGTTTGTTTTCATTGCATTCCAAGTTAACTGTATCAGCACAGCCCCAAGAGAGCTGTGAGGAGTCTGTAGAAGGACATTTACTGTGATGAGGTGGGTGAAGGTCCCTCTCATGAGAATTAGCTGATTAATGAACTCCTGGCTGACAAATGCAAAATGCACATGGATTTTCCTTACTGAATCCTTTGAGTTCTCACTGATACTTTGGAATTTTAAAAATATGGTTAAATAGTAAAAATCATTCCTGTATTTCAAGTCACTGAAATTAAGAAAGATATTTTTTGATTCATATGTAAATTCAACAAATTTTTGATAAATGTATGAATACTATATACACATTGCATATGCTGAAACAGATACAACTGTATCTACAGGGAAATGAGCCTGATTACTTGTAAGTTATGATAGTTATTCATGGAGTAGTACTACTTGAAAGAAACATTTCAGACCTACTGTACATTGTTTATATTCATATGTGTCATCCACGTGCTATTCTTTCTATGATCGTTTCATAGACACTGACAAGTCTAACTTAAGCATTAGAATTAATGCAAATTATCTGTATTTTGATTGATATTAATGATATCATAGCCTTGATATTAATAGGACTGTAGTCAGCTGTGTGACCTCTCGTTTTTCTTTTTACTTCTGAAATGAAATTAGTGATGTGATAAACTTAAAGGCAGCCCAAAAGAGCAAGGGAAAAATCGGCAAATAATTTTTGAAAGGAAGTTGAAATCATTTTTAATATGGAAGAAGACCCTTTCTACTTTAGAGTAGAGTATCAAAGAGTTGTTTGATTTTTAATGAGGTTAGCTGGGTATTACAAATGACAAAATAATTAAAACAGTTGAGATGCAGGTCCAAGACTTCAAAGGACGAATGAATCTTATTTTGAAGAAAGACAGCTTATTTTTAAAGTAAACATGAGTGTACATGAGTGTTTAAGGGCATGCAGTGGCAGCTGTGTATACAGTGGAAATACCCATGAAGAGAAGAGTGCTTTGAGTTCAGAAACAAATGCTCCAGGGCTGGCTTCGAGATTGCTGCTAAATATTTTAAGTAATGCTGTTACTTCTTAAACTACTCTCCTCCGACTATTTATTGATTTGAGTTTGTGATGGAGCTTGAATATTAAGGTGAATGAAGCTCTACATTTTTGCATCATAAGATAGTATAACGAACAGTCCTCAAAAAGTTCAGTTTAATTCATTAAGTATTTATTAAGCACCTGCTGTGTATAACATATTGTGCTCCAGCAAAGATTCAAATTTCATGAGGCCTGAATCTTAAATAATCTGAAGACTCCACTTTAAGAAAAATTTACAAATTTAAAATTAGGCACCGGGCCTTGACAGAGTCCCATGCAAGCAAGGGTTCCTGATTTAAACTTCAATAACTGACAGTATATTTGTCTTTACTTGACATTGTAGGATATCAAAAATAGCTAAAACCTGGCCTCTACCTGGTTCAAATTTATAGTGAAATCTGTGATTCGCTTTCAAGGATCTTCCTGACAAATGAGATGAATGAATGAAAGGGTTTTGATCTCCCAGGGAAATAATTTTGAATTCTCTCCCATTTAAAAGGCATCTTTCTTGCAGATCTCTGTTTGGGCCAATAATATATCAAGGCTTTAGATAAATAAGGTCATTTTGTATAGAAGATAGTATTTTATGTTCCTTGCCTCTATTTATGAAACTTATTACCTATTGCCATTCAATGATTCTGTGTTCCAACACCATTATTAAAACAGGTTGAGCTGACAAGCGACATTCACTGACTTTCTTGTAACTCAAGTAACTGTCAACAGATGGTAGTGATGACCTGTTCTGCAATGGGGAACAATGATAAAGGTCTCTTTTCATGTGACCTTTAAAGGCACTAGAAAAATCTCAGAATGCCATTCTGCATTGAAAATAATTACATGAATATTTATTTTACTCTTGATGAGAGGTGAAATAGCATAAGAAATACAAATAGCAAAAGATTCCTTAAAAAGTGAGCATGATAGCCTGGGCTCATCTACTCACTCATGCATGCATCCATCACTCAAGTGCAGTGTCTTCTAGGGCCTGAGAACTGTGTGAGGCCCTGCCGGATGGCATTGAGCAGCCGGACGCATTTCAGTTCCCATGGGACCTACCATCCTGTGGAAACACACCATCAACAATAGTCCTGTAATAGTTCTCTTTCTATTTCTTTAAGTTGAAAGCTGCAAATATATACTCCAAGGTTGATTTTTACAGTGTCTTATTGTCTATTTTGCTCAGAAAGGAATTGGTTGTAATTGGCAGAATAAAATTTTTTACATTTGGTTATTTTATTATATATTTGATCCATCAATGCATTCAACAGTTAAGATTTCTATTCCAGTACTTCTCTTTAGTTTCAGTTATTTTCTCTTCGAGTTGGAGTACAGTATAACTTACTCCCTTAGCCCATCCGGAGATGCTGTACTTAAAATTCATGGACATGATTATTGCAGAGAACATTCAATCCCAAACCCCAGCGCAGATAACACAGAGTGTTATCTACCTTTCTTCACTTCTCCTCTTGGACAACTCATTCTCTTGAGTGACATTCTCTTGTCTTCTCCAAATCTCAGGATGGCGATTCCAAGTCAAAATTTCCTTTACGTATTTTCTTAAAGGAATTCAACCCTTTCCCTCTTCCATGACACTTTCAGATTAGTTGGAGCACAGTATATTTAGCAAATAATTATAAAACTATTTTATAGAGCAATTTCCACAAAAATCTAATGCTAATGTTTGCATTTGCTGATTTTTACAAAACAAAGTAGAAATCGCTTGCTAAATGCAACTATATTTCTGGGTCAATTAAGTTGCTTCACAGTAAGGGCAAATAACTGGTGAAAATGTAGAAGACGGTCTCATTTTGCTTTATAAAAGATCTTGCCATGAAAAGAAAAGGCCAGCATTTACCCTATCCATAATATAACTTATACCTCTGATACAAAGGAACAAGACTGGGATCATTTTGCATAGTGACAAATTTCTGAAAAAATGGTTATGGATAAACACATCTTAGAAAGTGTATTGTATATATATTTGAAAGACTGTATTTTCCATTTTAATGGATCAAGAATTTCTTTGATATAAACACCAAATCTGAAACATTGCCCATGTCTTTAAATTTCTACAGGCGAGGTATTCTTCAAGTGGTTTAAGTCAATATAATTGGAACGTGTTAACTCCAATTTTTCACTAATTTTCCATTTTTACGGTTCATTAAAAACAGTTGCTTAAATCCCTAGAATAATAATTTAACCATAATTTTTATTCATTTTAAAGTTACTGTTTTGTGATTCATAAATTAGTCATTGCCTGTTGTCTTTTGCTTTTTTCCTTCCAGTAAAAGAAGCCTTGAGTCCTATAAAATTTAACAGGTGGAACCTCCCAGAAGTAGATCCAGAAACTATGCAAACCAGTGAGCCATGGGTGTTTGCAGGCGGTGATGTTGTTGGTCTGGCTAACACCACAGTGGAGTCCGTGAATGATGGGAAGCAAGCATCTTGGTACATTCACAAATATATACAGGTAGGCATTTGACATGAATTTCTGTTATTTTTTCCAATAGAGAAGTACTTTTACACTTATTTTTGATATCCATCTACCTGAGCATTTTATAAAATGTATATATATGCTCATGCATGTTTACATGGAAACAATTTTTAAAATTCAGATAAGGTAGTAACATTGTTTACTTGATGGAAAATTCATTATTCCTTTCTACAAGTGGATGACCATGAAGTTGTTAGTATTCAAACAACTATTCAATGGCTTGAATAATAGATAGTACATTTATCAGGTTTGATGGTACATAAAAGAATCTGTTTCTCTTTCTCTCTCTCTCTCTATATATATAGAGAGAATATAGATATAATGATATATAAGAAATATATATCTCCATAATGATCTTTCACAGTCCAGAAAACTATTTGGTCTTCCTCTTTGGAGAGGATGGGACTCTATGCATTCACAAATTCTGTGCCCAAAATGAAAAGAAAAGAGCTTTATGAGTTTCAGTTGTAATTTTTAAAAAATTATTTAGTTTCATGATATGAAAGGTCTGTAAAATAGGTACAGTATGTGTCTGGAGGCATTCTAGTGGGGGGGCGGTGAATGAAGGAGATTAAGGTGAGGGTACATGGTTGATGAATCTGTATATTTATATGAACTAGAACAAAGAAACCTCTTGCAATTGCTTTAAGTGGGGCAGAGAGGGAGTTGAGGGGGAGAGAAGATAGGGGTGATCTAACTAATGTACAACATAAGCCTAATTGGAACTGTCACCATGAATCCCCCCCCCAATATAATGAATATATCCTAATAAAATTATTTTTATAATAAAAAAAAAAGATGAACTATGAAGTAATGTATGATCTTGGGGAAAACAGATGAAGGTACTGTGGATCTTAGTGTTACTTTTTTGGCTAAATTCTCTATTGAATTCTTACTTTATAATTAGATGTAGATACAGTTTCCTCATTTACATGGAGTGTTTCTGGAAAGGTTTGTTCTCATTAATAAATGTCTATTCTCTCTTTCCTGATCAGGACAGTATCTACTTACAATATACTTTCCTACCTCCTTTTTGGGGGCTTCTCTGGTTTGTTTCTCACATGTTAATAAAATGCACTTTGTCTGCAACATTTCCTTGCTTTCTTCCTCTTTGCCATGACCATTTAGTCTGTTCTAGTTCTCCTTTCTCTTTCTGTGTGTAATTCATACAGGATTGCATGTTGACAGTAGGGTCTGGATTTGATAGTGTTGCTATCATCTTTTTCATGCTTGACTTGCCTACTTGGTCCCACCTCATCCTGGGCATCGGTGAGAGGTGGGATCTGAGATGTTTAGTCTGGGACATAGTGTTGTATCCCAGGAATGCAGAGCACCAAGGATGAGCGTGAGCAGCCCATGGGTTTCATGTTCAGACAAAGATAAGATTCAGGAAGCAGTGAGGGAGCTGCAAAATCTAAAATTTAAAAATGCTCTCAAATTCAGTTAGAATTCCTAACAGACTAGCCAGGCAAAAGGAAAAAAGAATGAAATTTTAGCAAGCAGAAACATGAGCACCCAAGGAAAGAAGTTGTGTGCTGCAGACTCCAGTCTCAGCAGTGATGGCACAATGCCTTTGGACCTTCAAGTCCCAGGATTTTAAAGACAGACAAAGAGATAGCTAATGACAGCTACCAGGCACAGACAGCCCATGTTTTGACTCCTTGGCTCCTTCTTTTTTGTCCTCCATCCTTGTTTCTATTTCCTCATGCCACTCTTATTTTAAGAGCACTCTCAAGACCCCATCACATGCTCTTCCAAGTAACACCTTAATATATCAGAGCACCCCCTTGGATGATCTTCATGGGCATTCTCATATTCTTTCCAAATTCACTGGATACATTCATTGGATGTTTTACCTTCTCTCCAGATTCACTGCTTTCAAACCAAACATTTGTCTCCAAACCTGTTCCACTTCCAGTATTTACTATTTCTAATTTCCAGGTTTAACCCACTGAGTTAGTGGTCTTTAGACTTTAAATTACTCAGACTAATACACTTATCAAAGTCAATTTGAGAATCAACCTAAGGCTGATGGATTCTTATTTTACTGAGTAACAGCATTTAAACAAACACTCAAACAAATGGAGCTACAATATTTGCTAATAGAAAGGAACATAATGTCTTATGAAAAGAAGAAAGGATATAGTCTCAGAATAGGAGATACTTCTCAAGAAAGCACAATTAAAATTTGTACATTATTGTGGTTGCACACATATTTTTCTCATCAAAAAAACAGCACTGCTGTCTGCAGTTATATTTATAAGCTATTTATGTAAATTTTGGTTTTTTTCCTTTCTTGTATATATCTGGTCAATTCTATCTTTGCAAAAACTCTTTTATGCACCTTTTCGAGTTGGCTTATCTTTGGTGTTGGAGCAACACTTTTTGGTTGAGTAGGCATCTCACTGAGCAGCCTATTAGCTCCTTGAAGGAATGAAAGTGGAACCAGGGGATAAGAGAAGAGGGTCTTGCAACAGGCCAGATGAGCCCAGTGGATGTGTGAATTCAGTGAACGGGAGTGACAGTGGCGAGAAGTCGGAGATGCTGGGAAAATTTGAAAAGATAAAATTGAACAGGTCCAGTGGGGAATGGCTTATTTATTCTAAATATTTCAATCCCTTTGCATACTTTAAATCAAAATATGTAGAGAATAATTAATATATATTATGATTGCAGTTTTATAGTGTTTCTTTAAAATTGCAGTTTATAGTGTTTACATTTTTTAAAATTATTATGGTACTTGTACGAAATGCACGGTGATAATTTGATACAGTATGTAACGATCAAGTCGGGATAGTTACATGGTTACGTCCTTAACCACTTTACATCTTCTGATTGCCATGTCATAATTACACATACTTAAGGGATATATTGTACTATCCAGCCCATGTGTACAATACGTTCGGATCAAATCACTTTCTCATTGCTCAAATGTTTGGAGCCTTTGAATTCCTCCCTTCTAGTTCTTTGTAAAATATATAATAGTTTATTCTGAATTGCTTTCCCTCACTGTGCTATAGAATTCGAGATCTTATTACTTCTGTGTTTGCATACCTGTTATCTTACTCCCACTATGGCTCTCCTCCCTCCTCTTCCCAGCCTCTGATAATGTCTATTACATATTACTATCAACCTTTTTCAAACACTAAAGGATTCTTAATGGGGCTTTTCTTTAGATTTCATTGTTATCTTTTAACTTCCCTGAATCTGACAAATATTTTTTAAAAAACCAATCATTTCAGTAGCTTCCATTCTTTTACTCAGAAAAGAAAAGAAATAGACCTTTAGTAAGATTTTTAAGAAGAACAAAACAAAAACCTGCTTTAAAATACATTGTTGCAGCTGGGTGTAGGTGGCTCAAGCCTGTAATCCTAGTTATTTGGGAGGCTGATATCAGAGGAAAAAGGTCCAAGACCAGCCTTGGCAAAAAGTTCACAAGACTCCATCTTCAAAATAACCAGAGCAAAATGGATTGGAGGTTGGCTCAAGTGCTAGAGGGCCTGCTTTGCAAGTGCAAAGCCCTGAGTTCAAACCCCAGTCCCACCAAAAATACATATTTGCTAGGAATGACAGTGTTTGAAAATTAAATCTTTCATGCTCACTGAGAGTTTTAGACTTGGCTGAAAGATTCAGACTTGTACTAAGTGTTGAATTACATTTCAAAATGGAGTGTAGATGGGAGTTAGGTTGTCAAATAAAATCAATACTTCATCCGCCTAGGGTGTTAGATGCACAGTGCTAAGCAGTGATGAGATACAAAGGAACATACAAAGTGGAATTTTTTCTCTTGCCGTGCTCCACCTTCTCCCCGCCAAATCCAAAGGCCCCATTCTGCAGCCAGTCCTCGCTCTAGAATGCAAGATGGAAACTCATTACCACATTTAAAACCCTTCAGTGTCTCCTCTTTGCAATGGGGACAAAGCCCAAAGTCCTTAGCTTGTGATACCAATTTGAATTTCCCCAGCATACCAAAATTTCTCTGAGGCCGGGCTTTCCCTGCTCCACCCATGTTCTCTGCTAGGTCCCCACTTGTCTTTCCAGGTCTGTTCTACCTTCCCTTTCAAGGATGTCACCTTCCTTAGGGGTTCTTTGATTGAGGTCCACTTTCTGGTCTATCTCTATAAAAGTTAGTGATGATGCTTAATTATTGTTTTAACTCAAGGAAGAATCTATTCATACATTAAACAGGAAAATAAGCACAGTAAGATAAGTCATTTTAAATAAATTTAAAGAAGAGTTAAAACTAATGGGCTTGTTAGAGGACAGACTATTAGCATCGTAAATAAATAGTGTTTTCTTTCAAAGTATTCATTAAAAAATTTTGTATAGTCTATGACATGTATCTGAATGAAGGCTTGTAACACTTTGGCTTATATTTCACTTTAGCTTGTTTAGAGGAAATGTATCACTAGAGTATACTTCAAAATGAATTCATAAACACATTATAGTATGAACCAATGCATGTAATCATTGCAGTTGGGTATGTAGAATTTCTTTGTAATATATCTTTTTAGATAAGTGTTATTATTTAAAGATACCCTTGTGATTTCAAAAATTCCCATAGTTATGTGAGGAGAGCTTCACTTAAATTTCATTAGTTAAATTGCCCACTGACTACCACTGTTACACCCAACACTTGCCTCAATGTGCAGAAGATGAGAGATGTAGCACAGTGGTTATCAATTTCGGCTACGAAACAAAGGGTAGGTTCAAACCCAGTTCCAACACTTTCAAACGGACCTTCCAACAAGTTATTTCACCCCCAGGGCCTTGTCTTCTCTGGGGTAAATAATTGATTTATTAATAAATAAACAGTGATAATTAGAGTTGCTATCGAATGGGTTACAGGGAAGATTATGTGAGAGAATTTATGGAAAGCTCTTAATATAGAACCCGCTCTACAAATATTTGTTGTATGAGTTGTTGTGATGACCAATTAATCCAATTACATTTGGATTAATAAACTGCGATCAGAA